ATAACCAACGCTCATGACTTAAATTAGGAGAGGTTTATTTTGGCTCATGCTTTCCATCCATGGTCTGCTGGCTCCAAGGCAGAAACGGCAAGGTGGCAAAGCAAGGCAGAGGGTGGTGAGGCAGCCAGGAAGCAGAGCAAGAAGGGACGAGCTGGGGACAAGAATATGTCCCTCTAGGTCATGTCCCCGGTGACTGCCTCCAACCAGGCCTCACCTCCTACTGCAGGTTCACCTGTGAACTCAGCAGTGGACGAATCCATTGAGGAGTTATAGATCCAACACGAGCCAGTCCCCTTCCACACCCGCGAAGATTGTGGGGGCCACTGTAGACCTAAAGCATAACAGGTAGCCACTGCCAGGGTCCCGGGCCACAGGAAGCTTCCCAGTGAGCAGAGGACATGAGGCAGAGCTACACACAAAACCCAGAGGCATTCAGACCAGCCCTGATGCTGGGGAAGGCTTTGGGGAACGGGAAGCTGCTGGCCTAGAACTCTGGAAGAGGAAGAGATAGGAAGGGCTTGGAAAAAGACAGGAAGATGGGCTCACGGCCCCCAGAAAGCGGGTTTCCCATATGTTGCTCCCGTTTCATGGCTGTCTCACTAGACGGCACAGGTCCAATCCTGCCTCCGTCCAATCCTGTGTATGTAACAGGGTGGGCAAGACAGCCACCCAGCAAACCTGTTTCACATACAGTGAGGCCTCATCCTGGGCAAGGAGTAATGCTGTCCTGGTCACACCCAGACACCAATGGCATACATGGCAGGTGCCAAGACAGTGTAAGGGACAATGACTGAGGTTTGGAAACCAGGGCACTGTATCAGGACCCCCAGGAGCCACTGGCCCTGGAGGAGGCTGACACCCCAATGCTAGACATGCCTGAGTTGGGTCATATACATACAAGATGCCTGTGGAAATGTGCATGTCAGATAAATAATGAGTACTTTTTTCATATATGTGTGCCCCATGCAGTATTTGGGGCATACACATATTTTTAAAATATGTGCCATTTATCTGTAATTCAGGTGTCACTAGGCATCCTGCATCTTATCTGGCAACCTCCCCCAGGCACACAGATGCTGTGGCATTGAGCCCCCTCCCCGCTGGCCTGGCCCGCAGAGAGAGGCAGGCTCGCAGAAGCGTGCCCCCTGGCAGCTGCTCTCTCAGACGTGAGCTTCTTTAATTAAACTGCCGGGAACAAATAAAGTGTGTTAAAGGGAAGATTAAAATTGATTCCCTTAGCTCAACAAAAGCCGCAGCTATCAAGGGGGCTACTTAAGGAAACAAAGCACTTGGGCAGAAGGAAAGCAGCCTGGGCTCCCAGCAGGGCAGCAGGGGGTGGCCAGAGACATGTACCCAGCAGAGCACCAGACAGAGCTGGGGCACCCACAGACCTGGCCGGAAGTGAGTTTTTCCTCCACTCTCAGGAAGCCCCTGGGGCCGGAGGAAGCTCACTTTTCCTGGAGCTCTGCTTCCGAGCTTCAGAGAGAACTGCACAGACAGAGATGCAAGGAGCAGGCAAGGCAGACACTGACAAAATATCTCATTGTAAGCCTTTCCTTCCTTCCTTCCTTCCTTCCTTCCTTCCTTCCTTCCTTCCTTCCTTCCTTCCTTCCTTCCTTCCT